AATCGATAAATAGCCATTTAGCTGATAAGACACACGTGTATTCACAACTGCTATTAAATACAAAATAACCTTTGAATTATAAAGATTCAAATCTTAATTAGGACTTGTGAAAGTCACAAAGTCTCTTTATTATAGCAATAGTTTCTAACATGGAGGTAGATTTTTCTATAAGTGGAAGGGAAGGCTATTGAGATTTATAGACAAAATAAATGGTGACCATTTTCTTATAAAGAATCTAAAAAATGAAAGTCTCTTAAGCCTCTCTCTTATTAAAGTTTTACCTTAACCCTTAACTGGACGGGTTGGGTAGATTCTGCCCATGCATAAACTTAATATAGGGAAAAAATATTTTTTTTGTTTACCAAGAGCTACCAGCTTTCGTGTATTCTAATTTTACAGTGATACAAACATTTTCCATCCATCGTTATAAATTTCAGTTTTGGGAGGGGGGGATAAATTTGCATTTGGGGGCGGATTCCGCCCAGCCCGTCCAGAAGTGTGAGAATTTTTTCTGTCAGTGTTAGCTCGTGGCTCATACTTGAGTCGCTATCTTCCGCTATTTTTTAGCTTCCTTTTATATAAAATAACACTTCATTCTTGGATAAGTAGAATTATCAATCAAGTCAACAGAGAGAACTATCCCTGCCAACCCAATATATATATAGGTTTTAGAGATTAGTCGACCACACTTTGGAAGAAATATTCCAGCAGACAACTGATTCAATTCAGTAGAATTAGTTAATAAGTTGAAAGAACATGGCCTTACATATTTAGAAACAATGAGAAAGAACAAACCTTAGATTCACCACAATTTCAACCGCACCCTAATAGAGAATCAGGAACATCTATTTTTGGTTTCTCCTGGAACAACCACTTTAGTCTCCTATGTTCCCAAAAATAATAATAAAATCGGTAATCAGATTGATAAAAAGGGTAAAAAAAAAAGGAGTAATTTATTGTTGATCTTGGGAGAGCATTGACTGATGAACACCTGGCCACACGTAATCTCAATTCTCTCCCACTGGAATTACAGACGACAATTCAAGAAAAATGATGGTTCAAGTAAACCAAGTGAAACTACTATGCCACAACAATCTGATACTCCAAAAAGGTGCTACAAATGTCCATCAAAAAATGCAGTAAAAAATAAAATTCCTTTGCTCTGTATGTCAACTAAGCGTTTGCAAAAACATTTCTTATAAATTTGTGAAAATTTAAAATAGATTATATTCAAAATTTTTAAAAGTCAAAATCTGTATATTAACTATATATTAATTAAATATTTTTTTTGAATATTGATTTCAATCATTATTTAGCGCTTATTTCATAAAGTTACATAAGTGGGTTGAATCTACCCAACCTGTCCAGTTACATAAGAAAAATCCACCCGTCCAGTTAAGGGTTAAAATCATTGTTGCAGTCTAACTTCTTTATTTCAACACTCCAAGGATTCAGGAGCTTTCGGTTGGATTAAAGTAGGTGTTGAATTAAAGTCAGTTAGATGATTTCATCACAACATTCACTGCTAGTGGACATTTTTCTCTCTTTGGAGAACTTTTTTTTTTTCTTCAGAATGCTTGATGATTAACTTTTAGTGATGGGTAAAATTGCATTAATTACATTTTTGGAAAAATTAAAAAACAACTATTTTAATCTAAGTGAGTAAATACAATGAAAAGAAAGCAAATAAATTTAGAAAATAAATAAAATGATAAAAATTGTATTTTAAAAAATCAATTACTTTTAAAGAAATCCTTTATGGTTATTTGCTTTTTTTTTTTTAGGTTAGAACCCTAATGTGCATTCTTATATGATTAATCTTTAAAAGACATGCATGTCTTTTTTTTTTTCTGTATATCAATTAGCAGAAAATTACTCTCCAGGACACATTGTTTATGCTAGTGACTAGTGTCCAAGAGGAAACAAAAAGTGCATTCCACATCAGTGCTAAAATTTGCGACGAGGCTGCATTGTAACATTTTTAAGCATGGTGCACATACGCTAACTATGGCCGCTGTTCCCTGCAAGCCTTAGGTTAAACAAGAATTATCTAAGGTTGTTGAAATTTAAAAAATCGGTCAAATTAAGGAGGTTATCCTGTATAATAATGACAATCAAAATTGAATATATTCAAGTAGTTATATATATATATTGAAGGAAAAATAGAATTAAGAAGCAAAGAAAATTAAAGGGAAAAGTAGATTAGACTATATTTTAAGGTTTAAAAAAATGTTTATTGCCCTAATTCCTTACTTATTTTCAAACTAAAATTCTGAATCTTTTGGGGTGCTAAAGAAGTTGGACTGTACCAAAACAAAGTATAGCCTGGCTATAACAGTCTCTTTTATTACAATAAAATAGTTATAACAATATCAAATTTTGGCCCCTAATGATGTTGTTACAGCAAAGTTGGACTGAATCCCAAACAAGCAAAAAGGAGGAAGGGGAATAAATATCAATACCAACTGAATAAAAATACATCACCCACCCATCAAATCTGATTTACTGAACAATGCTTACAAGGATTTGACTGCTAAACCTAACTCAGGGCCCGGGTTCAAACTAGGGACTTTAAATGACACTGTGTGTGCGGTCTTTTACCGCCAGACCAGGGAGAGTCTTCTCGCGAAATTCTCGCCTGGGGAAAAGATACTTCTTGCTGGAGTTCTCGACCGCAGCCATCGAGTTCGCTCGGGACTGCGATAGTCCCGCTCTTCGAGGAGGATTGTCTGAGCTAAGGGCGGCATTGCCCATCTGATGTAAATTGTAAAATTAAGTTGATCTTTTCTTCCTCTTACTCCTCGTGAGTGTATTTGTTGACCAGTGGTCATTAAATTTGTTTTAATTGTCAATTGTCATCAAATCTTCATTTTTCTCCTCATCAAATTTTCTCCCTTGTACTTTCCCACAATTCCATGTTCTCAATGAAAGAGTTCCTCTCACCATTTATTTTCCTCATCTCTCAGAACAAATGAGGAAAGAAGTCAGGGAAGTGACGTGCATTCATTTGCAATTGTGGGAAAAATACTATATTCTATATAAATAACAGGAAAATCCCTTACTTCACAAGATTCTTGCAGTGTCCTAACTTTGAAGAGACATGCTACCGAACTTCCCATAGAAATAGTGACCATTTTTAAGGTTACCTTTTTGACAATTAAAAACTACTCTTTTTCTACTACATGATAAGGTACAATTTGGATTAGAGATTAGAACTAAAGGTAATAAGACCAAATATAAATTAATTGACGGTAACATAGATGATGGTAACAACACTTACTGAAATATCACACACTATTAATTTATTTGGATTTAGTTCTATTTCTACTACAATGATAAAAAAGTATAATGAGATGGCATGCCAGTAGTTTCAACAGTTTAATCTCAACTCTTATTGAATCACTCTGACAGCCATGTAGTCTACAATTATACAGTAGAACCATCATGACTCGATAGAAAACACATCATTGACTGTATTGACTCATCCATTGATGAGTTCTACTCATCCCCGGCAGACACCATCAAAAGTTCAAGCTTTACAAGCTTGATACCCTGATATGATTAAGTGGAGATAAGAAAGAAGAAGACAGTAGAACCTCCATAAGTCCACCTCTTTACAAAGGATAGTTTCATTCTCAAAATTACCCTTTTTACTAATTAGCAACTCTCTGGTAAGAGGACACTTCTTCCCAAAGGTCACTTTGACAACTAGATGTTGTCAGTGAGGTATTTCTACTGGAGAGAAATACAGGCTCATTAATAATACAATAAAGGGGGTTGTGTGTGATGGAGGAATTTCCCCTCACATTTTTTGTTCAAAATAAGATCAATAAATAAAATAATGAATTATTTCTCTCCATGCTAAGTATATGTATGTCAAAAAGGGTTATAGTGGACTTTTATAACAGCAGCTTTGTTATAACATCATAATTCTAAAGTCCCCAGTTTTAACCATGGTTATAACAATTCCATGGTCATAATGACAAAATCTTGGTCCCAAATGATGCTGTCATAGTGAAGTTCGACTGTAATAAGGCTTGGGTCTATTCCTAAAGCTATAATAACTATAGTGGAACCTGTGTTGGTTATAACAGTAACTTGGTTACAACATCATAATTCCCAATTCAAGGTAATAAGACCAAATCCAAAAAAAAAAGTGTGTGAACAACGCTGTTACCGAAATGTCAAACACTATTTATTTATTTGGATTTGGTCTTATTACCTTGTGTTTATAATCTATAATCCAAATTGTGCCTTATCATAATTCCTAATTGATTTAACCAAGGCTATTACAACAGTGGTCCTAAATGATGTTGTTATAGCTAGGTTCAGCTGTATTAAACTGGCATAGTGTGGAGATGTGACCCAGCTATATAACTTGATAACTGTGAGGTGATATCAAACAAAGAGGCGAGGACGATGACATTTGTGTTTACCTGCTGCAAATCCATTTCACCCTCTAGACACCATATCTAAGGCAACAAAGGTGGACAAAGAGATTACCCTTTTTTTCTATATCATTTGCAGGTACCATGAAAGTGCATAGTGCTTCAACTGTTACAAAATAATACTATGGCCAAACATTGACAACATTCCTAAGTTGTTAGCATATTCTAAAAACCCTAAGAGGATCTCTCAAAATGACAATATTGTGTGTACCTGGAATTACAAAAGATTCTCCTCCACCACATTTTAAAATCAAATGGGTAGGGAAATTGAAGGAGTAAAAGACTTCCAATTTTCACAAAAAAAAAAATGAATAGAGATAATTTTAACAAGTTATGCAATTATAAGAGCCAATACCTGGCTTTAAAGTGCAAAACACATGATTACTGTCATGTGACATGCAACTAGACCTTTAAAAGAGAATTGACAACTACATATTAATACATATCAGACACTACATTACATACATATCAGAGTCATCAATCAATTCTTAATTCTGTCACCGTTTGCTTTTGTGAATGGAATAAATACCCAAATATGACCATTTCTTATAAGCATCGCTAGTTCAGTGGTAAAATGCTCGCCTGCCATGCGGGCGGCCCGGGTTCGACTTTTGCACTTACAAATGTCCCAGAGCTGTGTTTGGTTACTTGAGCTCACTGGTGGGGTTGGACTTTTGCAAGAATCGGGGACCATTGGAGCAATTTTTTTTTATTTAGAAAAAGAAAGCCCAATCACTAACTTAAAAATTCAATATTACTTTAATTCAACCGAAAGCTCCGAGATGAAAAAAAAAAAAAAAATCCTCAGGGTATTGAATTAAAGAGGTTAGACTATGATATCACAGAATAGAGGCTGACCTCCATATTGGAGATAGCTGTACTGTATGACGAGGTGATACCACTACTATTCATTCTGACCAGTTTTCTCCTTTACACCAATGTTGTCACATCACACTTTGTTTACTCCATTTAGAACACTAAATATTTCTCATGTTAGCAAACTGTACCATTGCTTTCTATGGAAATGTCCCCTTAGAGAAAGGCTCTAAAGAAATACATGGCTATAACCACATAGTCCATGATGTACCTGTGGTAGATGCAATAGATGTCCACTTTATTGTTTACCATTGTTTAGCCAATCAGAAACAAGCTTATTTTACATCGGCAGGAGGAAGGAAAGAAAAAGAAGAGTTAGGGGTTATGTTTAAAGATGAACGTAAGAAAAACATCTTTTCCTACCTCCCATATTAGTAAAAAATAAACAGCCATTCAGCAATCTAGACAATGAGATGGGCATTGAAGGTATGTTCTACTGAGCCAATGTCATCAACCCATTTTGCTGTTCCATGAATGGAAGGCAAAGTTCCTCCACCAACAGAGGTGGTGAAAGAATATGCTCTCCAAATAAGATAACACCTCAAGGATCACTTCCTAGATTGGTTCACAAGGCCATCCTTACAAATATTGTGTTTACTGCCACCAAATCGGTCAGTACATACGGCTATCCTCATATTGCTCCACTGGCAGCTGGAGACAATTTCCTTCCTACAGGGAAATTTCTGTCATCCAGAGCTCCACTTCCTTGTAATTACACATTTTATTGGATGTGAGAACATATGATTTCTTGTAGCTAGCTTATAAAACCTAACACGGATCTTGCTGTTGATCCTTACATGTGACTGAAGAACTTGTATAGGATGGTCCTAAGAAGAGAGTGAAGCCTCCATACAAAGATCTAAGCATATCTAGCATTAAGGAGAAGTGGGAGAGATAGTTGTAAAATGGGAGGGAAACATAAAGAGCAGTATCTAGACAAGCCTATATGTAGTTGCCAAAGAAAGCAGCCCAAAATTTACATCCCCTCATATTGAATCTCTGGATTGTACTGGAGGATCATAGAACAGGTAATGGGTTTAGGCATTGTTTGGGGGCTTGTTATAACAACATAATTTTATGTTGTTATAAACCAAGGTTAAAACATTGTGGTTTATTGATGGGATAACCCATTAGGTTTAAAATAGGCTTTTATAATGACTGTAGTTGTTGCCAGACAAGAGTTACATAGAGGAGATATTATATAGTAGAACTACCTCTCTGTAGTTCACTCCAGCCCCAACTCTATATCCTGGTATCTGGATAGGGTGTATATATTTCTATAAGAATCCAATAGCTACCCCAGGTGTATAGTCTCCAATTAAAGAGCAGTAATGAACATGACTTTGAAAGGACCTTAACCTAAATCTCTTAAACAACCTTGTCACTTTGGATGCCGTCAAACAAATGGGAGACCTTTTGGCCTTTTCTAACTGGAGAGATTTAAATTTATGTATGCCTCTATTGTGTCTTCTCTGGACAAACTCTGAGATTATTTGATGGACAGCAACCACCTTTTTAGTACAATCTCAAAAACCATTTACTACCTCTCATTTGCATAAATAAGAACTTATTGCTACCTAATTTATTATACAATTTAAATAATTTCTTCCATTATAACAGAGTTGGTGGATGGTTCACTATAACTCATTCTTTAGCTTTTCTCCTAATAGTAGCTTAAGTTTAATTTTGCATAAGACCCTATTGGAAACAACCACATACAGTTGAACCTAGGGACCTATATTTCATGTTGTTAAAGCACACCATGTTTAACAAGGTAAGCAAGACCACATCCAAATATATAATGTGAGATGCTTCAGTTACAACACTGTTATACACCACAATACATCATGATGCAGGATTTATTTGGATGTAGACCTGTTACTTTCTAGTCTATAATCCAAATTGTTACCAATAGCACACTATGTTGTTATTATAACCACAGTTAAAGCAATTAGAACTTTCTTCTTCTTCTTTCTTATCTCCACTCAATCACACTAAGGTATCAAGCTTGTAAAGCTTGAGATTTTTGATGGTGTCTGCTGGGGAAGAGTAGAGCTCATCAATGGATGAGTCAATACAGTCAATAATATGTCTTGGGGTTGCAGGCTGAGAATTGCACTTAGTACATAGTGGGAAAACCTTGCAACCATTCTAGAAAGTCATTGTCCGTAGATGACCAGACTTAAGTCTGGAAATCAAAGACTGTTGTTCTCTTGGGAGGACAGAACCGGTGCTTGTCCCTCCTGCTCTGTACCAGTCATGTGCAGCATCAGATTTCCATTCCTGCAGGCATTGGGTTTTGATGGTACAGAGGAGGTCTCTTTCGTCTAGTTGGGTGGTGGATTCTCTTGCTTCAATTTGAACTTAAAACCAGAGACTTTTACAATTAGGATGGTATAACCAAGTTGTTATTGGAAGAGACTAAAGGTAGACATGACGAATTTATTTAAAAGGCTGCAAGCTTTCGGACAATAATGTCCTCAACAGGCAAATCCTATTTTATAGAGAAACTCATGGTATCTACCTTCCAGCAAGGATATCCTGCAATTCCCTCCATTGTTATTATAAAATAGTTTGTTATAATGAGGTTCAACACTGTAAATACTTTTATTTGATCGATATCAATAGTAAAAATCTATGTAAATAATCTATGTAAATACAGTGGATAAAATATCTTTATACAGGCTTCTTTGGAAAAAGAAGGCAAATATTTAATTAAAATCCTTATTTCCCCTCTCATGGCTGTCAGTATTCTTGTCCTCCCAGAGTGCACTTTTTAGAGCCATACTTGTAAAGAAACTTTTCTTCTTTTATTCCGTTTTATCGCATAAACATATGTAAATGTTACAAAAATGTGTTGGCCATATTCAATCCTATACATTCTTGTAGGCTCATCACTGGTGGCTAGTTGGTAAGGTGCTGTACACCAATTCAAGCTCATACACCTGGGTGTTGGGCAGCTAAGACGTATATGGACTTTAAACCACAGATTTCAAGTGAATTACAAGAGTTAGACCCGGAGAGAAGTGGTGAGAGAGTGCTGCCTTCTGTGGTGGCCTTGGCTGCACCAGTACCTCCGTCTAAATATAGCCCTGTAAGAGATAACACCCGGTTGTGGGGCACATACACAACCACTTTAGTAGGCTTATTCATCTGCTTGGGACTCACTTCAAATGTCAGGACACAACCCAAACACCTCAAAACCTGGCAACTTTCAATTCTAAAATTTTCCCAATATGCCCACAAGATATCTACTTCTTAGACATGTGTATAGCACATTAATACAAACTTTGAATTATCTCTCTACAAAGTTAAGTAGGACTGTAGTCATATCCAAAATAAATTGCTTGGTTTATTGTTTATTGAAAAAGTGGAAGAGATAGATAAAATATCTTTATACGGGCTTCTTTGGAAAAAGAAGGCAAATATTTAATTAAAATCCCTATTTCTCCTCTCATGGCTGGCAGTATTCTTGTCCTCCCAGAGTGCACTTTCTAGAGCCATACTTTAGATATATAAAATTATAGTCTTCTCTATTCTTCCTGGTTTTCCCTCCATACATCCCACCAGTAACCATTCCAAATGTAACAGACAAGATGTCCAAACATGCTCTCCTCCTCTCAAAATAATAATTAGTGTAAATAATAATTTGGTCTCTCTATGATAGATTTATCTAAATAAAGTAAAAAGTAAAACGAAAATTGCAATTATACCGCGAATGTTTCTTTTAAACAAAAAATCAAAATTTATTTTAAAGAGAAATAGCGATTATTTCTAACTTTAAGGATGAAGTATGATAGGATGAATTGTGAAGAGTAATGACAAATGGAAAAATAGAAGTGTCCAGTTTCCATTTGTCATTACTCTTCACAATTCATCCTATCATACCTTCATCCTTAAAGTTAGAAATAATCGCTATTTCTCTTTAAAATAAATTTTGATTTTTCGTTTAAAAGAAACATTCGCGGTATAATTGCAATTTTTGTTTTACAATCATAAGCCGCGTTATATTGTATTTTAAAGTAAAAAGTGATTAAATGAATCCTTATCTAACTATGACATGAAAATAGGTGGTAACTCTCCAGGAATCAGATCAGTATTCCCAGAACTGGAGTTTTAATTGAAGGTATCTCTCTCAAGAATGAGCCTACTCAGGATGAAGACAATGGTGATAAGGGAACAAGGAAGGATTCCTGCCTAATCCAGGACTACAAGGAACAATACTTTAATCATCCCCTGTTGGGACCACATGGCTTAAGAAATAGAGTAGAGGTAAAATGTATATTTTATCAGCCCTGTATTTATGATAGGGTCTGAATTTATTCTGTTTGAAACTCCAAAACAGAGTACTTTTGTCTGATGATGATAACAACGTTGTTACTGAAACATTACAAACATTTCAATAATTTGGATTTGGTCTTGTTACCTAATGTTTCTAATCCATAATCCAAATTGTACCTTATCGTTTCCAAAACCTAAAGATTACTTAATGTTTTGGTATCCTTAAAACTCTATATTAACCCAAATTGTTCCCTAAAAAGTTCAACAACCAGTGCCCAACAAGACACAGAATAATTGCAGTAGAGGTCCATGTAATAACAAAATTTACAGAAAGAAGGTTGGTGAAGGAGTGGTATGAATACAAAAAAATGATTTTCAACAGCCATGACCTAGGATCCAATCCCACATTGGACTTTTTTTATGAAAAAAAAAAATCTTCAATGCTAAAGTGTTGTATTTTTAACAATAAATTTGTATTTAAACA